CCTGGGGCTGGAGCCGCCGCCTCGGCGCGAGTTGGGGCCTGGCTCCCTCCGCCTCCCGGAGAGGGGACCCTTTCCCAGCCACCGCGACGGAGAGGGACGCCCGCCCCGGCGTGGCTGAGGGCCTGGTGGGGCGAGGGTCCGGGTGGCTTCGCGGGGCGCCGACCTCCGTGTAAGAGGCTGCAGCTGCCACGGTAACATTGGCTTCGTGGAGGGGCGTCTAAGAGTCTGCCCGTGCCCGCAGGTGCGTTTGAAGCAGAGATGAATTTTATTCGTATGGCAACCCATTGGGTTCTCGGTGCCGTGTCCAAGGCCAGGGAGGGCTGTGTTGCTCTCGGTAGTCCAGCACCGTGACGTTACTGCAACTAAAACATGAGCCAAGTTTAAAATGAGTGTTCATAAGCTGACCTGATCTGGACTCTTGGTTTATTAGCAGCATTTGGTCTAATTTCAAAACCTTGCGGCGTTGCAAAATCATGATGATAAACAGTTGAATCTGTTTCTTTGTTGTAGCTTCTCACTGTCCTTAATGTGTTTTGCTGTCTTACTTTAGCAGTCCTTTTCAGGCAGAGAGGTGAAGGTAAATGTTAGAGTTAAGAGGCATTACTGTCATAAAAAGGAAAAAGATATTTACATTCTTACCTAACATATCTTTTCTGAAATTAGATACATCTTGAAGTAATATCTATTAAAGCATAAATTCTTCAATGTTAGGTTGTCCTATTCCTCGTACTGCTGAAGATGGTGAAACTCAGTGGGTTGGTTTTCAGTCTGTGGTCATTTGTAGCTGAATTTGGGATTTAGGATCTTCTGAAGTGTGTGGAGGATCTTTAGATCTCACACATCAGAACAAGTTCACAGGTTGCGTTTTTGGAAACCCTTGCAAACTTCCTTGTTAGGAGCAATCCTCTTATTCGGCTCAGAACTTTAAATTGTAACTTGTGAAAAAAGATGAGAAATATAAACTGATGAGCCTATAAATAGGAGTAATTAAACTACCAGTCACCGCCTCCCTGAATGCTGCAGTTGTGACAGCTGAGACTCAGAACTGATTTAATCTCTCCTGCTCTTGAAAAGGTGATTAGAAAAGCTCAATCATGGCATGGAAAAATGTATTGATTTTTTCTTTTCTCTCCTCATTTGGTAAGAGAGAAATATGCTGGCAGTGTATGACTTGTAAATGCAGATGCTGCTGTTCTTTCCTGGAGTATGCTGACAAAAAAAAAAGACAGATTTGTAGCCAGGCTGTATTTCCTACCATGTATTATTTTTCATCAAAAGGTTTCATGTTTAGCTGATATTTCCTTGGTTTTGTAGATGAGACTCTTGCTGTTTCACTGGTTCCTTTTCTGCCAACATTTTTATCTTGCTGTAAACTAATCGGGGCCGTGGAGTGGTCTGGTGCTGAACCCCCTAAACTGGGTTGCTGTGAGGAGTATTCCATGCATAGTGAGGACAGCTAGTTTAATTAGAGCGTGGGTTTACGTGTGCGTGTGTTACTTTCTTTATTATATGTATTGGCTGTGATGCCCTTTGCTTGGGATAGCCTCTGCACCTGCTTGTAATAGAGGGTGAAGAAGGAAAGCAGAAAAAAAAGTCTAAAATGCATTCCATCCCTATAAAAGGAAGCGTAAGAGAAAGTCCCCTATGGGGCTTATGTTACGGGTGTCCGTGGCTGCCGTCCCCTTGGCGCTCTCCTCCGGGCTTGGAAGGGACGTGGCCACCAAGGTTCAAAAGCACACATGTGGTGGCAGGACTTCAAATGAAGCGATCTCCATCACCGGTCCGGAACCGTTTAACAGAGATCACCGACACCCCCATTTTTCTATTTGGGGTGGCTGACAAATGCATCTTCCTACTCAAAGCCAAAAATACAAAGATGAGGGAGCAGGAGTATGAGTTACCGTTAGAACAGAAGTTACATAAAGTGCAGTAATCTCCATCGCTCTCCCAGGTGCGGCTTTTCTTTTGTACACTTAATTTTTGCCGTCTTCAGGAGGAGTGCATGCGTATGTGGGGATGAGATTTTTGGGTTTAGACAGTTTGTCATCTTTTTAACCTGTCCTTTAAGCACAAGTTATTTGTACTCCCTTCTGTTCATTAAATTATTTTTCTGTTGTTTGACACCTTTCTGACAATTTGTGCACAGTTACTTCCAGATGCGTTAGGATTTAGGGTAAGATACAGAGGATGCGTTAACTAAAGCTTATGGAATGTTGCCATGTGATAAGTCTGTAGGGCTGATTCCAATAATGTCACCTTTGTATGCTTATACATTTTTTGGATATAAACTCAGAAACTTGCAGCGATGTCTCTTGAATCCTGTACATATTTTTAAAAGCTTATAAACTGTTTGCAATGTTCCAGCACCTTTTTTTTTGTGGGTCTTTTTTTTGTTTTTGTTTTCTCCAAATGGAAGTAAAATTTTTGGAGGTGGAAGTGTGGTAAATGCATTATCAGCTTCTGCAGACCAACCTGTCATTTCTGAAGTCTGTTATTTAACGGTCAGTTCATCCCAGGTACTGATGCTTGTGCAGTTTCTTTTGTGCGACTGCCTCAAAACAGGAGTTTTCTTGACCTCTGAGTAGTCATTAAAGAGATATAATGTTACTTATTAATTCATTCCCACTTGCTGAAATAACTTGGAAGTCTTTTTTAATATTTTTTTAATGACCCGTGCTGCGCAGGTTTGATTTTTTTGTTCGTTTGGTTGTTCTTCAGTTAAAGATAGAGTAGCATTCACTAGATTTTCTCGGTACAAGCAGAATATCCTTAACTAGGAAAGAGCAGGATTAATGAGAAGCAGCATTTACTTCTGAAATGGAATTGGTACAGAAGTAATCCTAATTCCCGTTTGAATGACTCGCTGCAGGCTTGGCTATTCCAGAATCTCTAAAACCATGAGGATGGTTTCAGAACAATGAAGAGAACAGGCTGGAGAAGGCCTTGGTAGGAATATTGTCAGTTTTTCAGCGTAGAAGGAATTGCTGAAACAATTGAAGTAATAGCCCTAAATTTAGAGAAGCACTCGCGTATTTTGCTGTTTTAGCAATTTAGCATGAAATGCTGACTGGATGAGGAGCGATCAGAAATGCGATACCATTTCTTAAGTTATAGCACTCTCATATCTGTAATGAAATTGGCTGCAGAGTCTGTTGCTGTAGTGTTTTGCTTTACTTTGGAGAAACCAAGAACCTCATGTCCAAAGAGGAATACCCTGTGCTCTTTCTGCAGATACGGATGGGCCTTTTCCGTTTGTGCCCTGCATAGCGTTTGATTTATGGCAACTCTGAAAAATAAAGGTGATCTTTTAATTGCCAAACGCAAGGCTGACAAAGCCACTAAAATAGTTCTTAGTTGCTGTGTTCACGTTTCTGTCCCTGGGCTGGGTGGTGGTTTGTTGAGGTTTTTTGAAAGTTTGTCTTCTAAAATCGTGGCTCATTAAAAGCTGCTTTCATCTGGAACACACAGATGTAGTTTAATACTGCAAGCGTGCAATAAAAATCCCCAATTTCAGCTAAGAGAAAACGCAGATGTGTTAAGCGAATGGCTAAGAATAAGTCTCCCAAAAGTTAATGCCATAGGTGGGGACGTGGAGCTGCATCGATACAGCCCATATCCAGCTCTCCTTTGGCAGGGCACTGTGTTAGCCATTCAGAAGGCCGTTTGTGGGTGGTGAATATCGATATGAGATTCCTCAGTGTTTGTATTTAAGCGGGATATATTCGGACCAGAGAAATTGCCATGGTAGTTGGAAGACGGAGCGGTGCTCCTGTGTCCGGCAGCGGTCAGCACCGTGGTCCCTCGAGGAGGGTGGAAGAAGACTGGGCAACTGAATAGGTTGTCCACAAGTGAAGTTCCTTCCTGCCCCCTGTCAGCTGGTGGCCAGCCTGCGCCCTAAAGCATGAGGTTTGGTTAAACTTTTAACCTTTAAAATGCTGTTAAGTCTCACTCTGGACGTTTTGGTTCAAGTATTTTTCTTGGCTGTATTTCAGTTTGTGTGTGTGTCCTTCCTTACAGGAGTAAGGAGGATGTCTGAATATGTATAGATAGATCTCTTTCACTTAAAAAACATCTCTTACCAATACGGAAAATGGTGATGTAATATGAAATGAACAGATTGTATTTTCTGCTAAGATAAAGATTCTTATTAATTTAGGAACAAAATTCAGTGCTTCCTGGTTTTGTAGCTGTTGGATTGTTCTGGTTAGTCTTGTCATGCAAGTAAACTTTGAAAACCAGAAGTCCTTCTATTTATTTGGTAACATGCTCTATTTTTGATCTTTTATAGATGGTTTCATCCAAATATTACTGGAGTGGAGGCAGAAAACCTACTGTTAACAAGAGGAGTTGATGGCAGTTTTTTGGCACGGCCCAGCAAAAGTAACCCAGGAGACTTCACGCTCTCTGTTAGGTAAGTTTAAATGGCTTTTGGTCTTTCTCTCCAAATTGGTAAGAGTTTGATGCTGTTCTATGAGGAAAGAGTTGTAAATGAACTACTCGTAAGAGATGAAAGAATGCATGGATCGCTTCTTGAGTCTGCTGTTCACTTTTTCCTTTATTTTTCCCCACTTCCATTTTCTGTGAAGAAGTTCTCAAATACTTGTATCCAACTTAGGGAAGCTATAGGTTGGAGAGTGGTGAATTCTGATTCTGCGGAGAGGCAGGAAAAGTTCAGGGGGAGCAGAAGTAGATTCATAATAGCATTACTTGCAGCCCTTTAAAAATCTATTTGGTTACAATCTGAGAGTAGCAGAGATGATTCTTCTCTCCTCACCCCTCCACTCCTGGCACGTGTGTGTGCAGTGCTTGGAGGTCTGAGGGATTTCTGTTGGAGATTGTGAGGCCACAGAGCTTGTGCTGGCTTCGAGGATTCCTTTATTATGGAATTAAGGAGTTTTTTCCTATTCTTCCTGACTGTTGGACAGCCTCTTCCCCCTCTTGCAAGCCACTGGAATGTGGCTGAAGCACACGTCAGAGGTGCACTAGCTTAGCTATTCTGCAGTATTTCAGTTGGAAAGTGTTGCAAGTGTAAGTATGGATTTCTCTAACTCGGACAACAGAACACTAAATATAAAAGCGATTGATTGGAAATCAGCTGACTTGTATGGGTTTTTTCCTTTGTTTCAAATATTAGACGAACTGGAGCTGTCACCCACATCAAGATCCAGAACACAGGAGACTACTATGACCTCTATGGAGGAGAGAAGTTTGCTACGTTGGCTGAGTTAGTCCAGTATTATATGGAACATCATGGGCAGCTCAAGGAAAAGAATGGAGATGTTATAGAGTTGAAATACCCGCTGAACTGTGCTGATCCTACATCTGAAAGGTCAGAGGAATAGGGGTGAAAACCTCCGTGTCCATGCACTTCTTAATTAAATGTGTGTGTTTATCCCAATTAACACTACAGCCAGCTTCCATTTGATGAAAGGGTGGGCACTATCTTCTACTGAGACTGGTCCCACTGATTTCAGCAAGGTTACGTGCAAAGTAACATGATTACTAATAATTAGTAATTACTAATAAACGTGAATAAAGGTAAAACAACCCAAGCTCCAGAAACTCTTTTCTTCAGCATTCTTTCTGGTGTGATACAGTAGGAAAAAAGAGGACATAGTTCCCTTTATTTTTACTGAGAGAATGTGATATTACAGAAGTTCTCCCAAAGCTTCCCAAAGCTGTTATTACTGTAAGGAATTCCCAGGTATATTACTGGGTATAACTTGATACAATTTTTCCAGCAGTGGGCATATGTGTTAGAAAGTGAATGACAGGTTTATCGGGAAAGTGTATCCTCATGAAGGAAATAAAACAAGAATAAATGCCTTGACTGAGGAAAAGGTTGCAGAGTAAGCTTGTGTTTATTGGACACCAGGGAATCCATTTGAAATGTTGTAAGGGATCCAAATGAAAGCTTCATTTGAAGCTTGAACGAAATGCAAATTTCAGCGCTTATGGAAGTGCTTGCTTTGAAGTGTTTGTGTAATCACTTGTGTGTACGTATCTGTACACTTCCAAGGCTTATTGTGATCTTTATTTTTATAAACTGAAACTTTCTATAGACCTGGACGTTGTTGTTCAGTCTACATAGGCATTTTACTTCATAATAAATATTTAGAACAAGTGAATTCAGCCGTGGCTGGAATGACAAGTGAGGTACCTGTCTATATCTTACTTTATTTAAAGGTGGTTTCATGGGCATCTCTCTGGAAGAGAAGCTGAAAAACTATTAACAGAAAAAGGAAAACATGGAAGCTTTCTTGTGCGTGAGAGTCAAAGCCACCCTGGGGACTTTGTTCTTTCTGTCCGGACAGGAGATGATAAAGGAGAGAGTAATGATGGGAAATCTAAAGTGACACATGTCATGATTCACTGCCAGGTATGATGAAACACGAGCTTCTCTAGCAGGGCTCTTTCCATGGGTGATGGGTTTATTATAACAGGAGGACCATCTTGCACTGAATATATTTCTCCTTTCTGTGTGGTACTCTGTGTGCTGTATATCATCTGTTTGATCACATTGACTCATTTGATAGCATCAAAATTCTATTAGGGCTTTATTTTCTTTTTGAATGCTTGCCTGACTGAATCATGTCATAGTATACCATGCTGTCAAGTACCTTCTAATGGATTTGCTTTTGATTGCATCAGAAGTCTGTCTCGAATCCTCTGCTGATGGAGCCTTTCATGTTAGTGAATCTTCTTAAGCGAGTTGCAGTCTTCTGGATAAATTGTATAAAAATATGAGTTACTGGACAAACAGAGATCCATTGGAGTATATCTGTGTCTGCTGTCAGTTGATAAAGTTGTGCCTGATGGATGAGCAACATTCTGTGAAAATTTTGAGTAGGGAAACCAAGGGACACTTTTAAATCTAGAACTTGAATTTATTACAGGGTAGTACTTCAATGAAGCATTATTAAATTACAGTCTCTTGATATTTTCATGTATGCCCATGGGTTGCTATTTTAAAAAAAAAATTCACAGATTTTTGAATTTTCTTCTGTTATTCTAAAATACAGTGCAACTGTTTAAAACCAACTAAAGTGCAATAACAGAAATAGTTTGGAGATAGAAGTGGCCTACCAAGTATAGGATGATGTCCTCCATAGTGTGTGTCTGTTTCTTTTTGTTGACCTTCTACCATCCCTTCGCAGAAGGGCTTTACTAAATTCTTCTACATGCGATTTTAAAGAAAATTTCACATATAGCCTAAAGGTGACATTAAAGTAGACTTCATTGTATGAAGTGGTTTATTTTGAGTGTCTTTTCAAGGATCTAAAATACGACGTTGGTGGAGGGGAGAAGTTTGACTCTCTGACAGATCTAGTGGAACATTACAAGAAGAACCCTATGGTAGAAACATTGGGCACAGTGTTGCAGCTCAAGCAGGTGAGTGAATGGAGAAGACACTGCTAAGGTTTGTTCCCTTCAGCCTATGTTGTTGTAGTGCAGGCTTTTCCTTGCTTTTTCTTTTTTCTTTCCTAATGCAAAAGTGAAGAATTCAGCTTTGTGAATCAGGATGACAAAGTCAGCCATTTACATGGGAACAATTTTTGATATGCCTGTGAAGGGTGAACTCCTGTGTCACGGCATGCAGAATTACTCTTGGCTTCATTGTGGCCTCTTCCTCTCTACCCTCACTGCCCTTCATTGTATGAATTGTCAAGTTTTGAAGTCCAAATCGATGCCTGGATCCCAGAATTGCCTTTAGAAAATATACTTCATGTAAGGGGTTTGTGTTTTAGCTGTCTTCTCACAGTTGTCATCTGTTATACCTTTGTTCAATATTTGTATCTTTCTTAGCCTCTGAATACGACCCGTATTAATGCTGCAGAGATTGAAAGCAGAGTGCGAGAGCTAAGCAAGCTAGCAGAGACTACAGATAAAGTCAAGCAGGGCTTCTGGGAAGAATTTGAGGTACTTCCAAGTGTTATGGTATTAAATCTCTACACAACTAAAAAGTTGGGTTTGTTACTGTCTTCCTGACATTTTCTCATCTCTCCCTGCATTGCTTCAGATCCCTGTTCTTGCTGCTGTCTCCTGTGTCAGGTACAACATGGGTTAACATTTTACCCGTTCCACTCTTGTGTCAGTTAGTAAAATGATAGAAATACTTGCCTTTTTTCCTGATTCTGGGAGCCAGGTATGTTCTTCAATGCCATTTGTTCAGTACCTACCACAATACCTCCTAGATATCCTCCCCATCGTCAGGGAGCCTTATGTACAACTGTATGTAGCCCACCAGGACCATGAATCAGGTTCATTCCTGTGCTCCTTTTCTTTGTGTGGACAGGAAGAGGTCTGTAGGCTGGATTAATGTTGCTGGACTAATTCCTAGCTTATATTCCTCTTGGTGACCCAAGTACCAGTACAGTAGTGGTATCTGGTGCAGTTGGAATGTGTCAGCTGTATTGTGCATATGAAAGGAAGGACACTGTGCTCTCTGTTGCATGTCTTGGTGCAGAGGATGCTTCGGTTTGCACTCTGCATTGTTCAGGAAGTTGCATACCATTGCTTTATGGAAACCTCAGTGTGATTTCTCAGTCAATATATGCTCTTGCCCTTGAGTTTGTGGCTTTTTTGATAGCCATTTTTGTTGGATCTTGAAACCGTTGTGAAGTGGTAACAGTAGCCAGCTCTGAGATGAAGCAACATTGTTTGTATGTATTCCTTGGACTCCTGAAGAATTATTTTGGTTTTGTTTGGGTGTTATATTTCTGCCTGCAGCCAAAATTCCATTTCCTTCCCAGAAAGTGGCATTGCCTTTCATTCTGCCTTATCTGTGAACCTCTTGTGTAGCTGCTTACGTTTGAAAGAAAAAACAGCTGAAACTGTTAATTTCTCAAATAGAGCAGACGAAGTATGAGCATTAACTGACACACTGCACACTACTTGAGTCCAGCCTGGGTCCTAACCCTTCTTTGACAACTGGAGTCACTTAACAGCTGCATGTGTGTGATGGGCATAGCCAAAAAGAAGAGAAGTGTCTTGAATATAATGGACTGGTTTGTACCTTGCACACATAAGAAAACCACAGTGGAGTCTGGAACTCCACCAGCAGATGGCAACAGGAAACTGGAAAGTCCTGATCTTTACCAGAGAGGCTGCTTTTGGCTGTGTAATTCTGTTCTGAGAAACTTCTTGAATAGTGATGGATTTGCAAAGTAACTGTTCCCAAAGAAACACTTTTTTGATCAGACATTCATTAGCTGGATGTACTGTCCGGTCTGCTCTGCTCTCCTCACTTGGAGCTAAACTGGCCTCAACCTCTGAAATGCTTCTCCTGCAGAGTTCAACTTTGATATGGGGCCTGAAGGGTCAGGAAGATTGGCCACACCTGCCCTAATGGCTGAAACTCGCCTATGGGAATTAACTGCAGTCTTTTTGCAAAGACTGATGTGTGGTGGGTCATATCACGGCACAGTCACATAGGTTGTGTCTGTGGTCACTGCATGGTTTAGCCTGGACATACATTTGCAAGTTAGCCAAGCAAAGGGTGTCTGTTGTCTCCCCTGGAGATGCTAAGCAAACGTTACTCTTCTTCAGAGGGCATAAAAAAGGGAACAGGTTGGCCTGACCTTCTTGGAATTGGTGCTGGCTTCCTAAAAGCTGTGTGAATTAATGTTTGGGTTTTTTTCTTTCTGAAGGGACACACTCTTGTGTGGTGCATTCAGGAACAGATTGTTGATTTGTCAAAATGTGACTGAACTATTAGTTGACACGTAACGACTTCTTGTCTGACCTCTGGTTTTTGTTGAATAAATTTGTCTTGTAATGGATTTATCAGTTGGTCCTTAGAAGCAAGGTCTTTTCCTGTCTCTTCCTGAAGGTGACTGTTTGCTAGCAAGCAGGAAGTCTTACAGCAAAAGTAAATGGAAGAAATAAAAGATTTTACCTGTGAGATATCACACTCTTTTGCCCTTCACTGCTGTTAGTGAGGTCAGCACTAAGCCTTATCTTTTTCCATTGTGTTTTTGGAAATGAAGCAATCTCATAGCAGTTTGGGTTACGCTTTTTCATTCACCTCAGGTAAGCTAAAGCTGTCAGCCTTGGTGGCAGGAGGCAGGGGGGCAAACTCCAGGTTGGCCGTGGATCTCTGCCTGTGCTGTTTATGACTTGGCAGGCCAGATGGTGGTTATAAATTACTTGTCTTCAGGCATATTTAAGAATGTGCCTCTTGTCCCGTGAACCACTAGACAGACGTGCTGACAGTCCTTGTAATGTTTTTGCTTCTGAAAAATGGCTGTTTGGTGAGCTTAGTGCTTGGATGTTGAGTAAAATTGAGGACTATGTTTCAGATTTATTGTTGCATTGTGTACATCTCTTAATGGGCTTGTTAGAAGTCGCTGCTGCTCACGGATCCCTCCTCAGGGATGCTCGAAGCAATAATAATTAACTGTATGACGTGAAGATGTATTTGAAGCTATGGTTTCCACACACTTAATTGTTTCCATTTTTTAACCTGCTAGCAAAGTTGAGCTTTTGCTGCTTTTGCTTGACATCTCTCCTGGCTGAGACTCAGAAGTGCTAATGTTATATAAAGGTGCTCTGTTCTAATGACACTTGAAAGACTCTTGCATTGTGGCAAGAGGTGGGCTGGCTGCAGAGTGCTGTTTCTAGCGGTAGCAGGCAATGCTTTATGAGGATATTTTTTGTCTTTGCTTTGTGGAGATGTTTTCTGTCTTTGCTTCATATGCATGAAACCTCGCAGCTCTCCTGTACCGCTTTTGTTCTTTGCTTTCCCTGTCTTTAGGATGAGCCTAATTGTCCAAGGTCATCAAGCCAGGCACTGACAATAACAGAGACTGAAATAGAAGTGAGCAAATGCGCCTGACATGCCCAAGCTTTAAAGTAAAAGCAATCTCTGCAAGAATATTAAGCGTGGTAATAACAAGGGGAGCAGCTTCCAAAGCCTGAGTGTTCCTTGTAGTCAGTAGTACTGCTTTTGGGATTGAAACTTGCCACAAAGCCATTGAGATTCTGGTCCCTCCAGCTTCATTGCAAGCAGGGTGATTTGCTCCTGAGCAGTGTGGCTGTGAAGTACGGAATTGCTGCTCTCCCCGTCATATGAATTGTGAGCCAGGCAGGGAGAAATGAGCTCCTCGCCAACAGGACAAGTCCCCATGCAGATACATTGGTTCTGCACTGGGATGATTAATAGATAACCCTGTCTGTAGTTTCCTAATGCCCCCCTCCCAACCCCTGCCTCCCAGAGGGGTAATTTGAGAAAGTCTGTGCAAAATTCTGTACTGGTTTAGTGAAGTGGCCCTGTGTTGGTAGGAGAGAATAATGAGAGCATTTAAAAAGCGCTGTGTGGCTGTGGTGGTGTTGTGCATGGCATTTTCCCTGTCTCATCCATACCTTTGAAAATACTGTAGCATTCCCATGTGGACTTTTGTTCTGGGGGGATAGACAAGAATATCTTCCTAATATTCTCACTGCTGAAGGACTTCTCCCTATCCTTGTATTTAAATGCAGTTGCTCGTGTCGGTGTGCTGCTTTGGGTTTTCTGTGTGCTGCTTTGGGTTTTCTGTGTGCTCCTTCCTCGTCTTTGGCTGCCTAGAGCTGGTCTGGCTGCAGCTTGCAAGGATCCGCTCTTGTGCTGGTGCCGTAACACAGCCTTCTGAATCTCAGGGACCCGTTTTGGGTCTCTCCAGCAGTGCCACTACAGTAGTACAGGCTGCTATGGGCCTGCTGTGGCTGGAGAAGCAGAAGAAGGCTGGTAAGGCCCAGAGGAATCCAGCACATCTCAGATAGAGAAGCACCGGATCGCTCAGTACCTTACTCCTTTGCAGGCTGGCAATGCTGTGAATGCATTTGTTACTGATCTTTATTGGCACTGAAGCCAATGCCGGTTCAGTGGAAAATGTTTTAACTCCTTACCTGCCTGGTGCAGCAAAATGGAGAAATGCAGTAGCAATTGGAACTTTTCTGCCCGATGAGAAAGACCTTGTGATAAATAGGTTTACTGGGACCTGCTCTGTAGAATGCTGCTTGTGTCTGGTTTATCTAGGATGCCTTTTGTGGCGGCCAGATTTCTACAGCCAAAATTTTGTTGTGGATGTTTGTAACCGGTTACGTTTTCCATGCGCAGCGTTTTACAGCTAAAAGCACAGCAGACACAGCAACTTGCTGGTTAGAGTTTGTGGTTTAAAGAAGCTTTGAGGTCATAGGTGTTTATAATTAGCAGGTGGAAAATAGCTTGTCTTGTCACTCATGCTCCTGTGTTTCTTGTATGCCTTGGGAGCAATGCTGTGTTAAGTCTGAATGGAGAAATCCAGCACCTCTCTCTCTTTCTTTGACTTTCTGGCACTATAATTAAATATTATCATTTTTGTGAGAAAGGATCGCTATAATGAAGGTGAAACAGTCCATACTCCTTTTATTAAAACCAGTTTTTGGTTGTTTTCATTTAGACCTTACAGCAACAAGAATGCAAACTTCTCTATAGTCGAAAAGAAGGTCAGCGACAAGAAAACAAAAACAAAAATAGATACAAAAACATTTTACCCTGTAAGTATTGATTTCTTTCATTATAACGTAAGCCTGCTACTTTTCTATGCTTGATTATCTTGGCTTGTTAACACAGGGTTTATTAATCACCACTGTGCTTTCTCTTCTCTTTAGTGATAATTCCTCTCCTTATGTTGTCAGTATTAGCCCGTGCGATTTCCAGTTTGTGTTCAAATATTTGCGCTTTGTAGATACCAATATTTCGATTCCCAAATACTGGTTTTATCTTCAGCTTTCATTTAATAGCGTCACATCCCTAAACTCTTATTCAGCAAAATGGAATGCTTAAATTTAAGAGGATTAATTTACAGTACAAAACCAGTTGGTGCAAATCCGTCGCCCATTCCCCTTAACTTAGTGCTTGCCTGTCCGTGTACACATGACATGGGGGATGAGCACATATTTTGATCTGGTTTGTTATGAATTGGACACTTGTTTTACCAAATGTCAAACAGGAAAGGTTGAATATTCATTAATTCGCTGAGTTTGATAACTTAATAGCTTCTGGCAGCATATATAGAAATACACGTGTCTGGGGGGTATTTAAAAATAGCTGTATATTCACGACTGTAGGATGCAAGTGCTTAACGAACATCTGTATTCTTCCAGTTGACCATACCAGAGTTGTTCTACATGACGGTGATCCAAATGAGCCTGTTTCAGACTATATCAATGCTAATATTATTATGGTAAGTACACTCCTACCTGCAGGAACTTTGCTGGCACAGCCCATGTGAGTTCTTTAACACGCTCCCCTAAATCCATTTGAGTCGTGTAACCATTTGTTCAATTGTTTTTTTTCCTAGCCTGAGTTTGAAACCAAGTGCAACAACTCAAAGCCAAAAAAAAGCTACATTGCTACTCAAGGTTGCCTACAGAACACAGTGAATGATTTTTGGAGGATGGTGTTCCAGGAGAATTCTCGAGTTATTGTTATGACCACAAAAGAAGTGGAAAGAGGAAAGGTAAAACCAGAGTCTCAACCTGGCCTTGGGAAAGGGCGCGACATTTGAATGCAAGTGAGGACTGCACTGACGTGCTTAAATTGATTTATGTGCTGCAGTCTGGTGAGCCACCGCTGGCGGTGGAAGGTGCTGAGTGTCCTTTTTCATTGGTGCCTGTGGGAACTGAGGGCACACTGCTGTCATATCATCAAGCCTCCCTTTTTTTTAAGGGTTGGCTGATTAAATTTTAGCTACTGTGAGTCTTCTGTGTGTTGTAAAATGATTCAGGGGATGAGGCACTGGAATGCGAGATGGAGCCAAACGGGTGTTCTGTGTACTTGAAGGGGTAAGCTCCCTGTTGCTGTAACAAAAGGATTGCCATTTAATGTAGCTTGTCAAGCTTGCATAGACTTCACTAGAAAAGCAGAATTGTGGGACTTTATTACTATAAGAATGAATTTAAATGGTATTGCTTCCTACCTAAAAACTACAATATCATGTGATGGTTATTGCCTCAGATTCACCTCACTCCAGTCACATTTACTGGTCTCTACTGGAATGCAGTTTTCTTTCTGGCTTTACTTTCTGTGCTTGAATTTGATAACATTCTTATTAATTACTGAGCTGTGATTACAGCTGAAACTGTACCTGGTCAGGAATCCCTCAGCCAGGTGGGATTTAGCACTGTTATTCCTAAAGCCAGGTTCTTTGCCTGCCCTGTTTGGCATAAAGACCTGTTCAGCCTCGGGAGTCTGCGAGCCCCTTGTGAGCTGCTCTGGCAGGGTTTGATGCTTTGGAACAGGAAATTGTCCTGCAATGGTGTATCCCAAGAACCTCCACAGTACCTTTAAATGACAGAGGTCTTGGTCACATGCACTGTCTTCTGGCAAATCCGGGGTTATTATTTTGTTGCTGGGTTCTAATAGCATATGACGGGAAAGAATAAGAAATTGTGATCTTCTGGCAATGGTCACATCCTGTGATAGTAGTGTTTTATCTTTGGAATATTTTGCTTCTGATCTTTTCTCTGTTTGGCAAACAGTTTCTGTTCTTTCTCTTTTTTTTTTTTAAGTTTATCTGCTTTTTCCACATACCACTGTCTACCTTTTTCAATAACCTGGTGATGTTTCTGAATGGAAAGCTGTTATCTTAGATGAGCATCACTTTTGAAAAGAATCCAATTGAAAGTCTAGCTAACGTTTTCCTATGGGCGACTGATAATTGCAGGGATTCCTTACCACTGCTACCTAAAAAAGAGGCTTTATGCATATGTACTGAAGACAAATAGCAGCAGATTTTATGGGCTTCTCTGCCTTATCTGGGTATCGAAGCTGCCGTTGGTGGTGTTTGTAGAAACCATTAGACTCTCCTGTGGATTTTTTGGTTTAGACTTTGTAAACTTCTGCCCATTCATCACCCTTAGAAAGGGCCATGACTTGTGTCCTTCCTGAGTGTGCACTGAAGGAGGGAGAAGCTACGCCTTTGCAGTGACCTTCCTCTTACATCTTTATCTTGGAAGAAGAGAAATAAATTATGGGGTTGTTTTGGAGAAGTTGTCTTGAATACACTTATTTTTTTAACAGCCTACTGAATGGCCTGCACTCTTCTGCAGTTTCTCTATGGCTCTTTCCATGTTTTTCTAAGCCTGTTTTCTGTGCTGTGGCTGTATAAAATATTTTAATGTCTGATTATTAATCAGTGCTGCATGCATTGATTTTTTTTTTTTGTTTGTCTTGATGCCTGTCTCCTTTCTTCAAGAACTGCAAATAGCGGTCCTGATAGAAAAGCTTTTTTATCTCAGGCCAAGATGCTTTCAGATCTGCAGAAAGGAGAGAAACCTCTGCATCAAAGATGACTTCAAGAGCACATTGCCTAAGGAAGTGAGGAACTAAGAAACATCTCAAATCTGCATAGAGTCCTGAATTTGCTTTAGAGTGCACTGTAGGAGCAGCGAATAGTTAGAAATTAAAATAGTGGTGTTTTGGAGGCTGGCTGAGCCAATGCATCTCTAGCAGACTGAAGCTTATTTTAACATTGTGTGTTACTGTTCAGACTTGCCATTCCAACTGCTCTGGTGTTCAGAATTCTGTACTGAAGCTGTGAGTTATGTTGGCATATGCCAAGATCAACATTTCTTGAGCTTCTGCCCTTGTGGAGAGGGCAGGAAAGAAGGGCAAAAGTAACAGGAAAGCATCTTGTTGCTGAAAGAGGCTGGAAAGCACACGTTCAATCATCTTTTACTGTGTCTTGTGTTGGCAGAAGGGAACTTTCTTGTTGCCATGTTTTCTCATAAATATGCAGTAGTAACTGTAAATAAGAAATGTTTCTCCATAGTTACTTGGTGTTTGGTCTGCATTTGCTGTTGCTGGAAGCTGCCATCTCTATACCCACTATAATTTCTCATCCGATACCCTGTGTACTTGTGTGGCATCCACAGGAGCTGCTTTTTCCTGAACTCTTCCAAATCAAAGTAGTAATAGGTGAATCTGTTCTTCGTGGATGGAATACATCCCTGGCCAAAGATAATATTGAGAGAGAAGCAACACACCAAAAGCTCTGCATTTCAGGAGCTACAGACACGTGAGGCTGCAGCCCCCTGGCACAGGGAGCAATTCTTTGTGCCTTTGGTGGCTGCCTTAGAGAGCTGAGTGGGCCCTGTCTGCTCAAAGTGATGAAAAAGCAAGCATCCAAGCTTCATTTCCGCTAAGAATGGCTTACACCTTTGACTTATGTGTATTTTGCAGCCTGTTGGGTTTTAATTGCAGAATGCCCTGTAAGGCTACAGCGTTCCACTGGAAATCCTCAGTATTTTGAAACCAGTAGTTGGGTGGAGATACAAGTAACAGTATTGTAATCTCAAGGGTTTGAAACTGTCGAAGCAAAGCAGGTACTAAGATGATGGTGAAAGCTGCTAAAAGAAGAGATTACCTGTACCTGCTTGTCTGAAATAATCCAGGGTTTGTCATGGGGAAGAGAAACCGCCCCCTAAAACGTACTTTACCATGTCAGCTAGCTGACCAGTTGGTGCGAGTGATTGTCCTCGATGTATTCCGAAATGTTTGTTAACCAGTCTGTGCACAAGCCTTTCTTCTTACTGATGACTCTTGGTTTTTTGGTTTTCAATTTTTTTTTTATTAACCTTGCAGAGTAAGTGTGTCAAGTACTGGCCTGATGAATATTCCCTAAAGGAGTACGGTGTTATGCGTGTTAGGAATGTTAAGGAGAGCGCAGCGCACGATTACACACTAAGAGAACTTAAGCTTTCTAAAGTTGGACAAGTAAGTATGTTAGTAACTCTTTCTTTTTAATTTAGGTTGCAGATCACAAAAAAAAATGCAGAAATTGACTGTTTCTTTGGAATCAATAAAAGCACTAAGAGGTTAATAAATTGAGCCCCATCTCTTTCTTTGAAGCTCTAGGTTTAGTTCCATACGTCTTTCTCTTTGTCCTTGGGATAATTGAAGCTTCTTATACCTAAGGGCTTTTTGGCAGAAGACGCAGGCTGCAGAGCTTTGAGGAAATCTGGAGAGAGGGACGATGCTTTTAAGTAATAGCACTTAAATCTAGCTAGGCTCCCTTTCGTGGAGAAGGTTGCAGTAGGAGAAAATGGTTGTGTGTGGGTCCAGTCGTGTGAGGAAGGACCTGGTGAATTAGTGTGGAAATAGCACGTCCTTGTTCAGGAACAATTTGGATCAGAGTGCAGGATGAATTGTGTAAGAAGCGAAGCAGCAGGGTGTATTAGATTGGTGTGGCCGTGGGATGGAACTGAGCAGGAAGAGGCATGTAAGGTTAAGTGCCGCTAGGTACGAATGATGAGTGTGGGAGATGAAGGTCCCTTGCTGCAGGTCACCCTCAGGCAGAACTTTGCCATGGCTTCTAAAGGTGAGGATAGAAATGTTCTTGGAAACAACCACAAGAGAAGGAGGGAGCTGAGGAAACAGATGGTGGGATTGACTTGTCAGGCCAAGAGAAACTCGGGCTTGTCCCCTTTCATGGAGAGTTGTGGTGCTGCGGGTACTGAGCAGCAGGCTGGATATGCCACCTTCCCATCTGACTCAGCTTGACCACATAAATCCTTTTAGCTGGATTTTGATCCTAAGGAGTTTGTTTTCACGTGTTGGCATCTTTCTTCCAGGGGAACACAGAGAGGACAGTGTGGCAGTATCACTTCAGGACCTGGCCTGATCATGGAGTCCCAAGTGACCCCGGCGGTGTGCTAGACTTCCTAGAGGAGGTGCACCATAAGCAGGAGAGCATTTCTGATGCAGGACCAGTTGTGGTTCACTGCAGGTATGCGCCTCTGCCACTGCTACTCTCTAGGCCTGTGGAGCTCTCTTGGATCTGGAGGTTCTTGTTTGTTTTTGGAGGGTGGAGCTGAAAATCTGAACAGATGACAGCTTTCATCAAGCTGCTCAGGCTTGCATCTGTCAAGGTGTTTGTGCTTTGTCTTGCAAAATGCTGTATTTTGGATAGGTGTCACAGGGTTCCCTCCGAAGCAGGCTGTCTTTCAGAGTGTGTGTCTGTGTGAATAGGAATTTCTGATACTGGATAAGGTGCTATATTCCGGGTGCAGGATCATGGGAATTCTAATCTCCCATCTCACCTCCTGCGAGTGCTCTCTCCTCATCTCGGCTTATAAATCAGATACTTTTTGTAAGGCATGCAAATGTTAGGTCTGACCTTGTTTTTTTTTCTGATTCAAGGCTGTTAATAAATGCTGAGTTAACTTTTTCCCCCTTCTCTTTTTACAGTGCTGGGATTGGGCGAACAGGAACTTTCATTGTGATTGATATTCTTATTGACATAATCAGAGAAAAAGGTAAGTTCCCCTCCCATTTTTATTTTACTGTGAGGCATTGACAGATCACAGTGAAACAAGAGGAGTGTTGATAGAATGGAGGATCCTACTGATGCTACGGGCAGGGCGTGTGTGTTTGGCATAGAGGGGATTTGCTCATTCCTCTTAACTTAGCTGGAATCAAAGTGCTGAAAAGCTGCTCCAGTTCAGCATAATGAAAACTTTCAGCTGAGGATTAGATGGGAGTCTGTGGTTTTCTTCTTACTATTTTTATAATTTATTTTGCTGTTTTTCTTTTAAAATCGTTCACGAGCATCTGGCTGTTGATGTACTCATGCACGCTGAATTTGAGTAACTCGTTTTCGGTGAACAGTGTTGTATTTGTGTATAAACCGCCACGAACACCAGCTTGGCATTGATGTTGAGCTGGGTTGCATTTAAAGTCATCTTGGAACACTGTGCAGTTTTCTCCTCCAGGGCAGCTTTCTGTGTTGTACTCCAGTTATACAGGTCTGTGTATTAGTAGTCAAGGATGAATCCTGTGTGATTTAAGTTAAATACAACTGCTAACATTTAAGTTAGTCTTGCTCATTGCAGGATTATTCAGCTATGTTGGGTTCTCCTGGAAGATGAGGCCGATCGCTCCTCCAAAACCAAAGTTTCTTTCACTCTTCTTAACATGACGCTGATTCTCCCTAGGTGTGGACTGTGATATCGATGTTCCAAAGACCATTCAGATGGTGAGATCGCAGCGGTCAGGAATGGTTCAGACAGAAGCACAGTACAGATTTATTTACATGGCAGTGCAGCACTACATTGAAACGCTACAGCGCAGAATTGAAGAGGAGCAGGTACATTTGTCCTAAGTATCAAATGTTACGTAGGAACGTGTTATCTTTGGAACAGGGAGCAGAGTTGCAGCTCAGGCTTGGCACTTGTGTGTGGCTTCTGGCTGCTTTGGAGTGTGGCAGAGCTTAGTTGATATTTGCCTACATGATGTAGAGTTGCTGCTCAGCAGAGAGGATGGAGACTTCGTTCCTCTCCCCAGGACAGCTGTTGTGTGCTCTGATGGTGATTAGACACAAAGTGAAGAACAAGAAATCCCTCAGGTGGCCTTTTATTTTCTGGCTCTGTTGTCTCGCTTTGCCTTAGAGCCGCTTCATATGCCTGTGTGTGTAATTATGCAAGCCTTGTCCTCAGCTTTTTTAATATGGTCTCTTTCTGCTGCTGCCGTTTGCAGAGCACATCTGTAGCTCTCTCTTGGCTGTGGTAACGGGTTTTGGATATTGTTTTGATATCGAGTGGAGCAGTGTATTTCTCCTTCAGTGCTGAGGCTCGGTTATGTTTCTTCCTCTATTCTGTTACTAGCTCAGAAGGTGCAGGTATACAGTTTTAAGAAGCTGGAACTAGAACTTGGCTCTGATAAGAAATTAGGTAGCCACATTAGCTAGCCTGTTGCCATGCAGGACTTGCAACCAGATGGACTTGTTGTTTGTATTCAGGAAAAAAACTTACTTCCTCTGTTAGCATTCCCTCTTGTGTTGCAAGGCTGAGAGCCTCAAGATTTCATAGTTAAGTGTTAAATATTTCCTGTCTTCTTACAAGTACAGGAGAAAAGCAAAGTGAATTTGTTTTAGTTTGGTTGGGTGGTTTTTTTTCTTTCCCTCCTTGTGCAATTGTGTATATTCTCTTACATCTAGGAAACAAGTAGGTCTTGCCACATTTCTATTTTTCTGAATTAGAAAGGACAGTTAGAGTGAATTAAGTGGAAGGAAGAGAAGCCAGATATCTGCTTTTTCTTGGCTTGTTTTGTCTGTTGCAGTCTATTAAGCAACAGAAGAACTGACTGATTGTTTTAAAATGGCTTTTACTGTACAGCACATCTGTAACTTGAACTGCCATTCATCACGCGGTTTTTGGGGTGGGGATAGTAGAAATCAAGCTGTACTTTTGGACTTCAGAATATTATTGGCAGGTGAGGGAATTGTACCCATAACACTGTAGAATGCAGCAGTTTGAACCTTTCCGTTTTATTTAAATCTTATTTTTTAACATTACCCTTCCAAGTAATTGATCTGGACTGGTGGTCTGTTTGAAAGTGATTTGTCAGGAGTAAGTAGGAGGCTGAAAGGGGAAAAATTCAGTAAAATAACAAGTTGAGCAAGTTTTGAGCAAGTTTCAGAAGGCCAAATTGGAAAAATTTCAACCTACATTGCTGTACAGAGCGTTCTTAATGGAAACAGCAGCCAGATCTCCCCAGAGGCTCTGACATCCTCTGTTGTGAGATTGATTCAGGCCAGCTCTTTAGCAAGCATTTAAAGCATTAAAATGAAAAAATACTCAAAAAAACCCCCCCAATACCCTGCAAAATTTGAAGTGAGGCTTTAATTTATAGGTTTTGGTGTATGCATGTGTTGTGAGCGTTTGTCTAGAAGATGAAGACAGCCGTATTCCCTTTCTTTCCTAGCGCAGCTTTGCTTGCTGGAGCCCTCAGTATCTTTAGATGGATGCCAGCACAATTGGCTGCAGCTTGTAACATATGCTGCAGAATACAAATAACAGCTTGGCTTCTTTTTATATCAAACCTAATGGGCTAAGATGTTATTTTATTAGAGATCTTGCAAACAACGTTGTTACTCATTTGGCCACATCTCCAAGCTGGAAATAAGGTCAGTGGGAAGCCCACTGGCTGGTCCTGTCTGCTGAAGAATGAAGCGGGGTTTCTTCTGCCAAGTAAGATGAAGATTGCTTACAAGTGCTGGTTCATAAGGTCGGTACATTCTGCTGGAGATGGTGGAGGAAAGGGGAATATTGACAAATGAAGCTTTTCAGGGCTCATAACAAATAGCTAAAGCCAACCCTTAGGTCCTGTCCTTGTTGTGTGTGTGTGTTATCTGCAGAATTGAGCTGTTGTCTGTTTGTAGACAAACCTTTCTTCTCAAAACATATGTGGTTAGTTACACGTGTAACTTCTGCACTGCTTCAATGATTGTCTTCTAACCTGGCTTTTTGTTGTGTTTTGCTTCACAGAAGAGTAAGAGGAAAGGTCACGAGTACACAAACATTAAATATTCTTTATCGGACCAGACGAGTGGGGATCAGAGTCCTCTTCCACCCTGTACCCCAACCCCAACGTGTCCAGAGTAAGTACGCTTCTGTTGTCAGTGTGTGGGTTCTGAACTGTACTAACTGATCTTCAGGGACCTTAAATGGGAAGGGGTTAACACAGAATCTGCCCTGGGCTGTTGCCCCGTGCTTTGCTCTTAAACCAAATTGATCAAAATAAATTGTTGCTGAATTATATTGTGTGTACAAATGGGGTTTTCTCAAACTAGATTCTTGAGATTGTAAATGCTTGTTTGGTTTCAGAATGAGAGAAGATAGTGCTAGAGTATATGAAAACGTGGGGCTGATGCAACAGCAGAAAAGTTTCAGATGAGAAGATGTATAGAGACCTCCATGCAGAGGCAGGTATGTACGTTCAGGAGTGAGTGTGCGTATCCAGCCTGGAGTTGTGGCGTTTGGAGAAAATGGACACAAACCTCAACTATAAGAAGAGCTATAGGAAGGACTTTCTCATGCCTAAAACACGTGGAATGTATCCCCCTTAAGGTGTTCAATTACCAGAAGCTAATTTTGATTGAGTTGCATCGATCCCTTTCAAAACAATGCGGAATATTAGCTTGGTAGTTCGGCCGTTGTTCTCATGCCCTGACTCCCCAGTGACATAAGTTGGAAGTTTTTATTATTCAGGGGACTGAAATTCTGCATGCTAGCAAAGGATGAGTGCTTTCTATGGCTTTTGAAAGTGATCTTTGCTCCTGGTTGATGGTGAGGATTTGCATGCATCTTAAGAGATTCAAGAACACTTAATGTCACGCTCAGCCTCATAAAAGAGCAAAGTTGCTGCTGTGCCTGCATGGTGTGAGCAGTTGGGGTAGTATTGATGTCTTACTGGTAAGAATTAAATCCCTGCTTTTGGTGGTAGAGAAATCTGTAGATTCTTTGTTTTCAATATCTGTTATAATTTGGTTCTTTGCAATCAGACAACTGAAAATATATGTATATAGGTTATTAGCTAATAAGTTTACCTGGTGCTTCGGTTGATGGACTGAGCACAGCGAAGGAACACCTTTGTATTTAAGGTGTCTTTAGTCATTAACCTATTTGAATTCTAATTTAAAGCCTTTTGTCAACTTTCCCTGTATGTTTTCAGAGTCTTCAGAAAGCCAATTTTCCCTTTTCCGTTTGGTAACTGTAAGCGCATTTCATTCATTCAATAACTTTAATTTTCATCTCCCTTCCTTTCCCAGAAATGAATATGGTTTTTAAAAAGGTCAAGAAAGAGGTGGAAGAAGCTTCACGTGAACGGTGAACTCTGAGGGCTTGGTACCTTTTTATTTACGGTTTTAGTCCTTCAACAGTAGGCAAAACTTAAGACCATCTGAAGATTGTTTATATCTCTTCTCTCCAATACCTGATTTACAATTGCTCGTTTTCCAAATAAAAGGAAATCATTTCTACAATGTAGACAACTACTTTGTAGAGTCAGTTTTGAATCCTGCAAACTGTTGGACTGTCATCCATTTGTTTTTTAAATAGTATTTTTGTTTCACTGTATGGCTATTAGTTGGGGTTTTTTTTTTTCCTTATTTGTGCAGTTGTGGGATTACTTTTTTTTTTTGAGGGGGGTGGTGGGAGAGCAATGGTGTGGATAAATCCGTTACACTAATGTAAAATACTGATGGGAACAAGACTTGATTGTGTGAAAACAGTGGATCACCAGCATACATCGAATCAGCTCCTTGATAAAACTAGTCCTAATACATTTCAAACTCAGACTGAGTTTCAGAGGGGTGAGCAGTTACTGATATGAAGGTGCTTTTTGTGATAACTGGTGGCTTTGATTACGACTTAGCTGAGTGGCCGGATGGGCTATTTTTGAGGGATTATGCAAGGTAGCCTTTGCATCAAACAAAATTTCTTTTACGCGATCTCTACCCGAAATAGAAATTTACGGTGTCTCTCCAGAGACGGTGGCCTAGCGGTTTGCGAGGACACTGTCTGTGTTCATTTGTCTGTGTTCGTCTGTTAAAGCAAGAGATTGAACTTGTAGAGTTAAGCTATTTTAAACAGTTGCATGATGACACCTTGACAGCACATTAAAACCAGTGCAACAAGGAACCCGCTGTGCAGGCTGTTGGGATGAGGTGACCCTCTCCCCTTCTGCAGGGGGTGGAAGCTGTTGAGCCTTCTGATTTTTTAGGAAGGCGTTATGCTAAAGTCAGTGGCTGGATCAAAGGCAGGTGAGGAAAGCAGTGCATGGAAGGTCGCTATTCACTAAAATTGCCTTAGTTGAAAAGGGCAGCAGGGGCAGCAAGGCCAGAGGCTTGTTCTGGTTCCTGTCACCAGGCAGGAGGTTGTTCCCATTCCACCTGAAGTGCCTTTCAGAGCTGCATTGAATTTGCTGTCCCTATTCAATTAAAAAAATCCCAGCCATCTGAAACCACTTCTGATTGATGTTAAAAAGACAAAGTCCCCTTCTGGAGACTCCGGAAGGAGGAGCTGCTGTTGAGCTGCCAGGTAATTGGGTTTCTTCATTTTGCTCTGTCCAATTCTCTGGACCAGACTCTCCCCTTGAAGCCGTTACTGCTGCATGTGTGCATTAATGGCAGAACTGGTCCCACTGGCGGTGTCTCACCAACGCCTGCCCCGTGTTTCTGGGGAAGTTCTGTGACTTATGTAGTGTTAAGGAATTATTGCCATTTCCATACAGCGGGTGCAGGTGGGGAAGGCTGCAATTCATTGCTGTGTGTGAGGGTGCAGGGCCTTACCTGTGAAATTCTGCTAAAGCCTGGAATGTCATCAGTGCAGCTTTGTGAAAGGTTAAGTGGGAGATTACATTACCTTTTCCTGAGAGTGCTTTGCGAAATTTAAATATTTGAACACTTTGAACTGAATGAAGGTGCTTCTTTAATGTTAAGCAGAATTTCCTTACTTTGCCTGTTGTCCTTTTTGTCTTTTTTGAGGCTTTGGGGTTTTGTTTTGGGCTATTTTATTTTGGAACTCCTGTCACCAGCATACCATAATATGTGTTTTAATGTCGTAGCCTTATACTCTAGTCATGAATACTTGTGCCCTTCCTAGATCTAAAGCTTCTAGTAATGACGAGAGAGAAATCTCTTCATTGGGTAGTGAGATACACATTCTACATCGCCTGCTTCTTCTCCTGTCCCTATTTACAGCTTCGTCCTGCTTAACAGGGATCAGTTGTAAGTGTTGGTATTTGTATTGACAGCAATTCAGTATTTGTTGAAAACTTTGGGCAAAGTTAGACAAATTCTACGCTTCATACGTAAGGGAGAACACGTGTTCAGGTTTGGAGCTGTCCTGCACCAAACTGAAAAGCTGGGGGGAAAAAGTCAAGAGAAAGGAGAAAAGGATCCTGAATGAAGCTGAACTGTCATGAACTCGGTGAATGTGATGTGTCTTAAAAAGACGGAGCTGTGTAAGCAGCAGTCGGTTACATGGCCAACACAAAGTTGCCTCTTTTGACCTCATTTTAGCTGTTTAGGACCTGCCGCTGTATGACTTTTATTCTACTTTCATTTTTTTCTTGGAACCAGGGAATCCTTACTGCAGGATGTGTATCAATCCTGGGGAGCGCGTGGTGTCGATGGGGGGGACAGAATTGAAAAGATTGTGGATAAATAACTCCTCTTCTCTGGGGCGTTGGGCCCTGCTGAGTGCCGGAGGGGGACCTTGCAAAAGAAAATCTCTGCCTTTCCTGCACCGGCGAGAGGGGGGCGTTTCTGAAAGGGTTTTAAAAAATCATTTTAACCAATGGCTGGGTTGGATGACAAATGGAGCAAGAAAGAGAAATGTCCTTTGGTTCAGGGGAGAGAAGTGAATGTGGGTTTCATGTATTTCTAGTGACTTTTTAGTGAAGAAATTTTAAGCATTGATTTACAAGCTTTTGCTGTGTCAATGGAAGGGAAAAGGGATGCAGCTCTGGAGTGTTGTCTTGTAGAAGACTTTTTTACCACAAGGGAAACTGTAACCTGGCTCCTAAGGCACAATAATTTATGCCAGCATGAATTTGCTGCAGACTTCATGTGCTGAATGTTTTATAGCATACATTGTAATTGCAGCTAACTGTTGTTAGGACTGATTGGTTCTCCTATTAATCCTGACCAAACTTTACTTTTTTTTTTCCTCTTAAGATGTGTGTTTGAAACACGATTAACTAGGATATGGCTAACGATGTTATAAAACCTGCTTCCTTTTTTGTCGTAGGGATGGGAAAAATCACAGCTGGTACTAGGATGTGTTGTCAGGTTTTGATTTTCTACCCGTAACTTCATTATTTCAAATTAATTTTTAATTTCTCCCTTTTAAATAGTGAAGTGTAATTAATAATTTCAAGCCTGTTTATTTATGACATTATTGTGATGATTTTTTTTTTATTACAGTACTAAAGACTAATGAAAAAGGATCCTCTTATTAGGTGGAGTAGACCTTGCATTTATTTTTTTTTCCTGCAATGTATGAAGTATTGTACCAGAGTATTAAATGAAATGTAATATTTTATTGAAAAATCTCTATCCTTTAAAAGGAATACATTTAGGATGTCATCAATTTGATGTGAATCATGTAAATGTTGATAATGCGCTGTTTATTATACATCTAGTGTTTCAGAAGACTCACTTACTGCCTTTTGCCCACGTACATTCTGTAGACCATTTGCAATTGTCAAAATGTGACATTAAAATAATAGCTCCTGTATAGAAAAATTGGTGGTTGTCCATTGTTTTCTCTGCTGGTATTTATGGGTCTTAGTTCAGCTGCTCTGCTGGCTGCTTTGTGATTTCTATTGCTGCGAAGCTGTGCTGTCGGAAATGAAAGCCTACCTGTAAACGTCAGGACTTTAAAAAAAAGGAGGGAGGAAAAGAAATGATAATTAAAAAAAAAAAGAAATAAAAGTCATTTTCTACGATGGTTTGTCAGTCCCTCTGTTCTCCAGCACGGGCTCTCATCTGCGCGCCTGGATCGCGGTGTGTGCGAGCTGTGCCGCTGAGCGCCCCGCGGGATGCGGTGCTGTTGGAGAGAGCAGCTGTCCTTCCCAGAGCCGCTGCAGCAGAGCCCTTATTAAATATGAGGGAAACGAGCTCTTGTGTCTGTTCCTCCTGTGCACTGCCAGCTGGCTGCCCCCAGGGAGGCTCTCCTGCTGCCCAGGTACTGCCTCTCCCGTCAGCCCTCGGTGGCTCTGCTCCTGCTGTCCTGTGCTCTCTCTTGCTCCTCCGCCTCCAGGTATTTGCCCTGTGTTGGTTCTTTCCTGATCTTTTAACTTGGTGTAGAACTTTCTCAAAGCTGGGGTGAGGCGTAGCCTTTCTTTCCTTTTTTTGAGTATCGGTGTGTAATCAATCACTTGTAATTGGGGAAAAGAAGGACAACCCTGCTCTTACTCTGTCCACACTGCACTTGGCTGCAACCTGTTCTGGGAGAAGCTGTTGCTTCTGCTCCTGCTGCTCCTTCCTTTAAGACCTCTCATCTCTTGCACCGTTTGTCTTTGGAGCTCTGCTGTTTTCCGAGATCCTTTCATGCCAGCACCACGCAGCGACTCAGAAGAGGGCCTGGTGCTTTGAAAAGGAGCTGTTTTACACCCCAGGCTCCTTTCTGCTGGCTGCTGCTACCACACTTCAAAAGCTATCAGGATTTGTGACTCTCTGTAGCACTCGGAGCTAGACACTTCCAAAAATGTAATGCCCTACCTGTTCCCTAGGCTGGAGCAGAAGAGCATACGTATGCCCCTAGGTATTGCATATCAGTCTAATTTTAGGTCCACTAATACTGCTTTTTTTCTCTCTTAAAGCCATTGGGAATGTCCCCGTGAGCCCTGCCATTGCTGTTACCACTTCCCAAAAACCAGCCTGAGTGGCTCCACCGACACATGAAGGGTTTTTAATTAAAGGAAAGGCCCCACCGAGCATCAGCTCTCCCCTCCATCCTGCTTTCGGGGCTGAACGGTAAAAAAGCAGCTAAGCCACCCTGTGACTTTTCAGGAAATAAATGCTCCGTGTCGTAATGCAGACAACACGGAGCTGAATTTGTAGTAAAACAAGCTTAATCTCAAGGCGATGGCAAAGCGTAGCGATAATCTACTGAAATGCCAGGAAGGAGGCCAAGCCTTGTGGTTGAGAGCTCTGCAGATCCACGTACGGCTGAATTCAAATGAGGACAGGAGCTATGTGGAGCAGCTTGGGTTTAAGGCGATTATCCTGCAGAGTAAGATTTCTTTTTTTATGGATGCGTAACAGTTTGCATCCATCTCTGCGCACAGCGATGGTTTTATAATCTGTGTCGGGGTTGGGGAGGGACAGGACTGGTCCCATCTGAGAATGTGGGCAGAGGTGGGAAGCGATGGTGATGTGGTGGCACTTAACACCTCTCCTGCTCTCTCCCAGGTGGCCGTGCTGCATTTTTGCTTGCCCCATGTAGATAAGCATGAATCAAATTTATTCTCACAGCATCCTCGGTGTTTATACAAACTGGGATGACTGGATACTGCTCAAGGACAAGTTTGTTATCTCCATAAAACCTTGAAACTTTG